AAAAGCTATCCTTATGCTATTGTTTCAAATTTGAAGCCAAAGGGAACTTTTGTATCAAAAACAATAGTAATATTTGTTTCTTTTAAAGCACTTTTTTTTTTTAGTGGGTCTCTCAGCACCTTGATAAACATAATTATCATCTTTATACCTCCAGACACTGGAACAACAAGAGATGCAAGATCCCAACAACTAGGTTAAGTGCTTAAGTTATATTATAAGCAAAGCCTACGGTTTGGCTTCTGTAACAGTTCCAGGGGCCTGATAGGATAAATAGCGGTGAACCTATTTGCATGGTCCCATTTTGCAGTAGCAAAAGTAGTTTAGTAGCAAGGAATGAAGAAGAGTTGTCCAATGCAAAACAACTTTTCATCTAAACAATTTATAAAAACTCAGAAAAAAAGCTGGCAAATATCCTAGGCAATGCAAACACAGGATGATAACAAACACGTAACTTGGTTGTTGCATGGCTGGAACCAACATTTGACTTGAATTTAGTTTTGGTGTGACTACTCTAGAATCGAAGTTAAGCCTCCAACCGAGTACTTCTGAAATGAGATGCAGCAGCAGCTTCAAAACCAGACAATTACAACGGTTCCCTCCCCAGCAACGCAAGCGAGAAAAGGACCACACTGACCACGGGCCCCTTCCACCGCTACTGACACTGGGGAACACACGGCTGCCAATGCCATCCTCTAATACCAACACCAAAAATCAACCTCCTCCAGCCTGTTACAGATATTAACCTACAGATTGTTTGTGTGGTAGTGCCAGGTTGGGACAGGTTGGTTAAAAAAGGTACGAATTTTGGAAAGGCTTATTTAGTTACTTACTTCCACATGCTTCTTGGTGCTTTATGTTTTAACTGCAACATTTAGCACTCCTTAATCTGAGTATTTTCTGATCAAAAGGCTTAAAGTAATCCCAAAATTTGTTCTTTTCAACAGTAATACCCTAACAAGTTACATCCTAATAAGTTCTAGCACAGATTGTCAAAAATTCAATTCACTGCACATGTACAAGCACTACAGGGTCTCTCGTACAGACCAAGGTGCTCATTTGCCTGCCTGACCTTATTAAAATATATGTTTTTCACCACAGACACTGCATTTTACTGTGACACTGTGGTTTTGCACCTGGATGGAGCCTTTTCTCCCCACATGTAACCACAGTGGGCAGTTTATTGCATTAGTACTCGTGTGCATTTTTCACACTGTGTAACCCTATGTTACACTGCATTTCTAAGTAACAGGGAAGCTCTCGAGTTGTTATAAACCTGTTTGGCAAACAAACGTTTTTCCATAAACAAATTAATTTCAGCTTAATCAAGGACAGTTTCACAGCCAAGCTTACTCAGAAGACTTTTTGAAACCGAGTTTTCACCGCAGTTTTACATCTTCAAGAATTCCAAAGTCCTGTCCTACGCACACACCACCACTGTTCAACCAGCTCCTTTCATTAAGGGAGGCAGGAAGAACTTCTGAAACCCCGTAAGGAATTTAAGCTGTTTCAACAACATATTACAACCCTCATATATGCAACCTGGGGAAAGCATATGCAAAGCAGCTACAAATATCCTCAACCCTTCAGTAAAGATAAAGAGAAGATGGAAGAGAAAAATACTTGTTTGCGTGCACTTACTGCCGTGCATTACTATGCATCGACAGCAGAGAACAGGGAAGTTAAAGCTCTGTGCATTCTGCAGCTCTTTTACACCAAGCAAATTTGGACTTTGCTTATCTTAGCAATGAAGCTTGGAAATCAGCCTGTTTAACTTACAAATTGGAAACCCACAGAAAGCTGAAGAAAACCTTGGGAAGAAAATAAATTGCTATGACAACGTTTTAAATGCTTCAAGGTAAAGCAGAACAAAATGACATACAAGAAACGAATTCTTTGTCAAGGGTAAATAAAAATGGTGCTGTTTAGTCATCACCAAATGGAATTCCCCAAATTTATTAATTATTATAAAGATCAGGAAGGAGCCACGTGTACCTACCTGGGCTGGTTACGACAGTTTGGAAATGGCAGTGTGTACAACTAACCCATTATATGCAGAAAGAGAAGGACATTTTAGATGTTATTTCTGACATGCCTTCTTTTGTCTCAGTTGTCAGTAAGGTGTGATGTGAATCTAAGACTGATATGGACTCTACAAGAACAACATCATCTCTGACACAGAAGATATTTTGTAAAGAAAGCAGAACACAGCACTACTTTTTTCCAAGGTATGAATCTTCCCTGCAGTTTCTAAGGTGCAGGATAGCAAAAACTGATGCAACAGACAATACTTAATGCTTTAAAATGTAGTAACTTGCCCTTGAGACCACACATTCAAAATCTCCTCTACGTTATACTTCTCCTAGGCTGTCAGACACTTGCAGGTTAACTTCCAATTCCTTCACACTAACTTTATTTAAAAAGCCTGGTTAATATAAACTTGTCACTTGAAATAATGAAAATAAGTTTACAAAACAAGTTTTCTTAATGTCTTCCTTTGGTTTTTATATTCTTGGGATGGATGAGAAATTAAACAGAACACTGGATTTCAAATATTCCTATAAAACTACAAGAATAGTCCACTTGTGCAACTAAAAACCACAAAATGTGACGTTCTAAATCTTGACCTGATTTATCAGTATGCTGACTGAATACTGAGTGTTTAATGGGAGCAAAACCTGTCCAATTTCATGTCAAGCTTTCACTTCAAAAATTATCACAGATTAGCAAGGTCAGAATTTTCCTTACATATCACTTCCCTAAAAAGTGGGAGAAAATAATAAAATACATTGAAATAAGTGGTTCAAAAATAACTGGAATATCAGTATGCAGTTTTAACAAACACTCACTATTACAGATTTGTGAGCTTGTTTCCCCCAGCATGGAGCAAAGTTAAACTTTACATTCTAACCTCATTTTGCTTCATGAAGCGACTTGCATGTCTCTACAGTCACCTCTTAAATTCCCCACCAAGTTACTTGTGTCACAGATGCAGTGACAATCGAGGAACAGGAGGAGCGTACCGCTGAACCAGGGTTGTGATGCTTTTTGGCCTACCTTGCTCCTAGAAACAGTTTATTCTGAGCAGCACAAAGCTGAGATTACCAACCCAAGCCATCCCAACCTGGCTCACACAGAACCAGTTCAAGCACGTCTGCGCTGTGATCCTGGAACTAAGTCCACAGGGCAGAAAACTCAGTGGTTCCACACCAGCTCAGGTCCTGGTGCTCTGCTTTGTGTGACACTCAAGTCCAAAACTACTCAGAGCTGCTGCTCCTAGCCTGGTCTTCACGAGGTACCACAATCAGCCTTTGTGCAGAGGTAGCCTGGAGGCAACGCCGTTTCTGATGTAACTCCAACTAGCACCCAGTGCAGACACCAACATGAATTTCCAAATGCTTCTCTGGAACTGGTATTGCCAACACTGAACTGAAGCTCATAAACCATCCCACAGCACCCAGATTTAAGTGGCTGCTGCAGGGACAAATAAACCCTGCTGAAGATGGCTCTTTGAAGAACCCTGCATTGCAAACTCAAAAGCTCACACTGCAACAAGTCCCAGACAGATTTTGAAACCAATAATACAGATCCTTACAGGCTGCTCTAACAGTCTTCAGAGAGAGCTGCTTGGCAGCATGATCTTATTGGCAAGACCTACTAGGATAAAATTCATCAGGTCACAAGAGAAGACAGCCAAAGGAACAAAAGAATATTTCAAATCCTTAAGTAAGGTATTTGTTATTCTGTCAGCAGTGTTCAGCCCCTTTTAGCAGTAAAATTATTTTCCAAAGCGCAATATTATCCATCGGAAAACAAATGTGAAATATGTGGATGCTTGTCTTTATTGGGACTAAACCCTTTGCAGAAAAGATTCAGTGAGAGAGAGATTTAAAATGTCAGAGTGGCTCCAAAAGCACACTTACAGTAATGAACTACTGTGACTCTGGGCAAAGGCAGAGGCAACCCAAGATGAAGCGCCAAGAGAAAACCAAACTGGCTACAGATTCACATTGGGGTCCTGCCCTCAGTCAAGAAACACTGAGGTAAAGGCAATAGTCTGGCTGGCAATAGCAAACCTCTACTTGAAAGCTATTAGAAAGTTCAAAAAATGTTTATAAGTCTGGTGGTTTGTTTTTTTTTTTTCTAGTTTGAGTGACTTAACACATAACATATTGCTATACTGCCCTATAAACTTCAAAACTGTATGGTATCAACTCAGTGAATATCGGTTACTTACAGATGTTGTCGGCCTTGCAAGGAAATGTAAGAAACAGCACTAGCATAGCAGCAAGGCCACATGTTACCCAAAAACCACAAACACAGTTTAAATAAAACCAAAGTTGAGCTATATATACTCGCAGCTAGCAGGTTCTTCATCAGAGATTCAAATAATAGTTTATAGCCACAATACTGTAACACTAACATACTCTACCATTACTTATAGTTAAACCATTTCTCCCCCCAGTTTGGGAGATACAGTGGCGCAGAAATTACATCCTTTTTACTGTCCCTTACTCCCTGAATAAAACTAGAAGGGTATAAAACCAGAAAATATTGTTTCATTGAGCTACTTTTAAAAGTATCTTGATAATCAATCTTTGTTATACAATGCAAAGACCACAAAAATAACTAATTTCTGCCAAAAAAATCCTCATAGAGAGTCTCACTACCTACAGAGGCAGAAAAGCATTTATGTAATCTGCTATAGGTTTTTTCATTCTAGTTTGCGTCAAATTTGGTGCTACAGCAAATCATTAACCAACAAGATAAACACAGTGTTCATAAATAGCCTATATTTTAAAAGAGCAAAATGTTAACTGTATTGGCATAGAATAATTTAGACCAATGAAATGTAGCATTTGCAGTATTTTAATTAAGTTTCATGAAATGTTTCAAAATCTGTTTAATAAAAACAGTTTTAAAAAGGGATTTTAATAAAAGGGAGTAAAAGTATTAATAATAAAAGGTAACAGAGCAGTAACTGATTCTTCAGACACCGATACCTTTAAACTTTTGTAGTATATGGTCCTGTTGATCTCCAGAGGAAAGAGATTTTGCTCCTTTCCTGAACGTGCCCAGTTTATATAGCGGAGCCAGTTCCCTTTCTTTGGGTCAGTTGCATCAACACACATCCATCCCAAGTTGGGGTAATACACCTACGAGAGAAAAATGGCATTAAGCAAAGGGACAACTGTTAACACTGAGGTGTGCGTGCACTAAAACACTCCACATTTTAAAGCTACACAAAGTAGTGATCACTATCTATGGACAGAGATCAAGAATATGAGCAGGGGTAGGGGCTGCACTGGGGGGGCGTGTTGCTGATCTTCTGCAGTCTCCTAAGTGGGACTGGTACAACTGGAAAGAAGTAACTTTTGGCCTGCGAGCCCTTCTCTGAAGGTTTTGGGCTCAAAAGCCAAAACACATACAACATTTTATGCTTTCTTTTTAGTTTGGCAAGCCTGAAATTATTCTCTAGATACTACATTTAAAATGTCTGATTTTAAGATATAAAGTAAAAATAAAGCTCCATTGCCTATCTGTTGAATTGGGAAAAGTAACTATATAGATGTTAGAAGCATTTGCTTTTCCTTGAAAGATAAGGGAAAGTATAATTTACATTTAATCTTTTTTTCAGGGTATTAAAGAAAATCCTAACCTTTCAAAAATCTTGTGATCACCTTAAAAATTGACCACGTCAATAAACTTCTGTGTGTTCCAAGGCGCTGTGTAAATTCCTTGGTTCCCGTTCTTGAAGAACTGTTATCATCTACTCCTCTCTTACATTTCAAGACAGCTTGCAATAAAGCAAGGTTACTGACATCTTCCGTATTTTCTGATGACAAGCAACTCTGCTTCTCTTTCAAGACATGTTCTGTATCTCCCACTTTTCTTATTATAATCCAAGTTAGAGGCCTGTAAGAAGAGCTGTCAGTGGATGCTGTAAATTTTTTTCCAAACCAAAGATGACACCACTGGAACTATCATTCCTCCATTCTGGTACACAATGTTGTAACTTTTTATTGTTTCTGATACTTGTTTTACAAGTAAATCTAAGTCTTCTCCAACTGTCTCACATTTTCAATTTCATGTACACGTCTACAAGAGCTTAAAACAAGAATCATTTAATTAATTCTATTTCTTCTGTGTTGATACACTGTTGATTTAATTAATAGAATTTTAGCAATAAAGTTTCAATAAATATACCAAAATCATCTGTTTCTTTTCAAGCAAAGAGAAAACATCTCCCTTCCTCAAACTATTCCAGCATGGATTTCATCAGCTGACTTTTGAAAGAATGTTCATCAGCAGCACACCCAGCCCTTGCAATATGAAAACATAAAGAGCTTCACAAACCAAGACTGTAAAAGCAATCCTTCTGGATAAAATGGAAGAAAAGAGCAAAACAATGCTGTGAAAGAGTTAACAGATATGGCAAAACTTAATACCACTACTTTTGTATATATTACTTTATTATGTTTTTATATTACTTCATTATGGGTTTTGCACAAAACAAAATATTTCATTACGTCTCAGTTAAAGCTTCACAGAATTTTGCCGAAAGGCCTTGTGCGCTGTGAGAAAGGACACAGCTCCAACTCCTCTATATCACACAGAATCACAGAATCACTCTGTTTGAAAAGACCTCTGAGATCATCATGTCCAACCGCTCCTGTCTACCCCCTAAACCATATCCCTAAGTACCTCGTCTACCCGCTCTTTAAATACATCCAGGGATGGTGACTCCACCACCTCCCTGGGCAGCCTGTTCCAGCTTCTGACGACCCTCTCAGTAAAGAACTTCCTCCTTATCTCTAACCTGAGCCTCCCTTGGCACAGCTTGGTGCCGTTTCTCCTTGTTCTATCCCCATCACCTGGGAGAAGAGACTAGCACCCACCTCTCTACAACCTCCCTTTAGGTAGCTGTAGGTGGTGATGAGGTCTCCCCTCAGCCTTCTCTTCTCCAGGCTAAACAAGCCCAGTTCCCTCAGCCGCTCCTCGTAAGGCTTGTAACAATATAACAATCACAATATAACATTGCGACTAAGTCATTCCTGTAAACCATAGTCAAGACTAATCAGTGCACTTTTGCCCATCATTCTGAATCAGCCAACAGCATTTCCCTCAGTTTTCAGTCACTTGCCCTCATTTTCCTATCTGTGGCTTTCCTCCAGCAGAATATGAAAGTATGCCCAAGTCTCTATTTCTCTCCTCAGACACAGCAAGCATACACTGACACACAAAACTCATCTTATTCCTAATGACCCTCCAGCACGACGGTTCAAAATTCTTAAAACTGACTGGAGATGCCAGCTTTCAGAAGCCTTACCTTTTCTTCATATTAACTTCACTAAAGAAACAAGTTGGATTTTTGTGGAAAAGGTTGTTCTACTTGAGGTCCATATACCTACCTACTCCCACACACCACCATCCTTTCGCAAACCATATTTTCTAACAGTTAAGATTCTGGAGTTGTTTCAGATATCAGCATATGGGGCCAACTGTTGCATTCTCATGTTAGCTGCCTTTTTAAATTCCAAAATCAGTATTAAAGCAACACGCATTTACTTTGAAATCTAGCAAGGGTTCCCATTATTGCCTGCACTGCAAACTATGAAACTTTACAACAGCTTATTTGCAACAATCATTTTTCAAGACAAATTTAAAAAATATTAAGACACGACAAATCCACTGAGAGCATTCAAAATCCAGCACTGAGAAAAACAATTGCAAGGTCAATAATTTACTGGACTGATTCAATCTCAGTAAGTGTTCTTGTGCCAGATCAAAACTGGAGATACCTTATGCAGCAGATTTTGTGATAGTATGAGCTCAATGCAACAAGCATTATACTTGAATACTTCATTACTCTCCTGAATGTGAACTTGCGTTCATAGCAAATTGTTCTAGATCAGTTCTTCCAATAGAGTTTAAGATTTAGTTTTGCATGTGTATCCAGCATTTTATGCAGTTCAGTATGTGCAGACCACAGACCAGAAGGTATCTTCAGCCGAAACACCTGTAGACTACCAAGCTCTGTGCCACAGCTTCTCCATCCCTCCCCTCCTTCACCATTTACTTTGCTAAAGCCATTTGCTGTGTCTTCAGAAAGGCTGAGGAAATCTCGAGAAGTAGTTACGAACTGCCTTAAAGACACTGTAGGCAGGATTCAACTCCAGATTAAGACGCCCACATTTTGAAATCTACAAAACGTCCAAGGTCTTATGACTATCAGAGGAGCTTAAAGAGCTATTCAGCTGTCCAGACAGTATTTGCTTTAAGGCAAGCCCAAACACAAGCAGCACAAGAAATACTGCAACTGTTGAGAACTTCTATCAAAACTCCAAGAGCAAAACCAATTCCCATAACAAAGCTGGTTTTCAAAGAGCTAAATGAGGAGGAGTGCTGTGGCTTCCTTAAGAGATTCCATATCCTTCTAATTTCCCTAATTTCATAAGCAGTCGACAGTACTGAGTTGCAGAAGGGATATCACTCGGGGTTCAAGCTGACAAAGCAAAGCCTTATCAGCAATAGACTACTTAAGAAGTGTGATCCAGAGACAGAAGGAAATTAATAAAGCAATTTCAAACAATACCAACAGTTTAAAACTTTGTAATTCAGAATAGTTGCTCAATCCAAGTGTCTGTAAGTAAGTGTTTGTAATGATAAACATAGCTAGATGGCATTTTTTTTCACATCATGTCTATTTCTAAAATCTCTGGAAAAATTAAAGGCTAAATACAAAATCCTGACATAGTTTGTAAATGGAAAAAGGTATCTGTCACTGTTTCTTACCTCCCACATATATACATTGCTCTTAACTTGAGATCTTTTCTTCTTGTCACCAACAAATGGTCCAAACTTCTTGCCTTTTAAAATTGATTTTGTTGCCCAGACACCTGAAAAGACACATACCAGTAGTTAAAAGTAATCTAACCTAGCTCAAACAAATCTTCTACTCACAGTTCGTATTTCTTCAGATTATTTGATGTGTTTGCCTCAGAATGGGGGGCATTCTACAGTATTAAGATCACAATAAGGAAACTGAAGTTTACTAAAATGAATTCAAAAAATCCTCTTTCCAAAATTCACTTCACCCATGAAAGGTTTAAGCATTTACCTGGTTTCACTTGTAGTTCAGGTGATATTCAAAAAACCCTAAGAGCATTACAGGTTTTATATTGTAAAGTCCCAGATTTCAGCTGTTCTGCTGAGTGAACATGTTATTAAAACAAAAATCCTATTTGCTTTCTTTGAAACAATGCCAGGCAAATGAAGCCCTCACAAAAGTTGTGAGACTAACTCATTTTGAAGGAAAACAAACACTTAGGATTGTTTAAAATATATGCATCTGCCCACAGATTTATTGACAAGATTTATCCAAATTGAAAGTGGACAGCTGCATTTCACATTTTATAGCACGAAAACTAAGACCAGATTGACAAATAATTGCTAATTAAACATAACATTTTCATTCAGACCACGCCAGATCAGGCTCATACTAGAAAAGATTAACCTTGTTCCAAGGAGCTTATAACCCGTTAGTAACAGTAAGGCATCTGTTGGCAGGCTTACTCCTCAGACTACCGGCCTTCAGCATCAAACATCCAGTCTGCAATTCTGATTTCCATCAAAGTTCTCCCACCTTAGACTTTTTTAAAAAAGAAGGTGGGCATTTTGCACATACTACAGAAACAACACTTTGCTCCAGCTTTCAAGTCTGCACTGAATCTGCTCTTATAAATTAAGCTTTCTCAATAGATTGGAAGCCAGGTGCAGCGTTCTAAAGAGACAACAGTAGGATAGCTGCAAAACACAAAACTGGTGAAGTGCTGTAAGTGAAAACAAACCAGTGAAGTAACATATCAGTATTTTCATAACTTAATCTATCCCAATTCTGATGTTCTAGGAACATCATCTTGATATGCTGGAGAAACTTAGAAGCTGTCCACACTTCCCAACAGAAAATATTTCAGATAAATGCACCAGACATGATCTCTACCCACCACAGGAAGGCACCAGACTTTCCCAGCAACTGTAATTTATGTGAGCTAGTGTAAAAATCCACATTCTCTTTTCACAGTTGTAGCACTCACCAAGCCGTGTCTTGTCAACAGCAGATGGGAAGAGCCTCACGTCCTCAGGAAGCCCCCTGAGCACGTGCTCAGGTACATCATCTAAGGTCTCCACTGCCACAGGAGAATCAGATGTGTTCTGCAAGTCAAAAAGCCAGAATGGCCACCGCCATTAACAGATGAAAACAAAAGCACAACAGATGATCAACCCATATGAGATAACAACTCCTGACTTGAAATTAAAGTTGAATTTCCAAATTTCCATTTCAACTAGGGTCCCCTCTACCAACATGCTAATATACAAGTCTCTTTTTATCAGAACATTCAAGTTTCACTATTATTTTCATTATACATGTTTATGCTTTAATGCAAAGTTCTAAGTCCACATTAGATATACATAAAACACTGATAACTAAAGTTGCAGTAAATATTCTTTTGTTTTAGTTAATGAATGTGCTTTGATTACAAGCAGTATACAGTGAGTCAATCTAACTGCAAGGGTGTTCATGTATCTCTTAGGCCATTTGCCATTTCATTCATTTTCCTTGGCCTCTCCTCAAAAACAAATACAAAATTCTCCCTCAAGTTACCTGGAGATTTAAGCTAAAGGTATTTTACTTTTCCTGTCTGAATATGACTTACCTGACACCACTACTATATTCTATCTAAAGACAAATTAACAGAAAAGTACTGTTGTTCTGTATTTTGGAAATTCTCTATATTTTTCAGAATACAGTTTTCATATGAGTTCAGGCTTAGTGTTAATGCTTTGAAATTGCTCATTAATATGGTAAGCAAATTCATCCATGGAATAGTTTTCAGTTGCATTATTTTTACTGACCAGCTATGCCATAAGAAACTACATTAACAAGCAATTCGGTCAGTAACAACATTGTTACACACTACACTACATGAGACAACACTCCTTTGTGCTGTTGCTGATTAAAGTTCTTCCAAATTTCAGATAAAATACATTATAAAGTTGATCTACCTGTCTAGCCTATTATGCTGAGACTTCATAAAAGTATCACATAAGTGTTCACAGAAACAGTCCTGGAGTTGTAGCATCCATGAGTTATTCCTATAAAAATCTCCTATTCCTTAAACATCCTATTGAAGCACTAAAACTACTCTGATTACACAACATATTTGTAAACAATATGTTTCATCCTATTTTTAAAGCAGACAACTCACATTTTTCAAAAAAACGTGCAGCATGAAAACATCCTAGCTCTTGCATAACCTGTCTGGAAAGTCTAACTCAATTAAAAAAGTAAAGCAAGGAGATTAATTTTCCCTTTCAATTACAGACAGCTACAACAGACCTCATCTAACATTCAGACCTAATCTTCTCTGAAAGTACGCCACAAAAAGTTTTCATTATTTTATGTTTCAGTTGTATGCAAGATCTTAAATACAATCTCTTCTGCTAGTAAATGTGTTTGCTCCTGAAAAACTAGTATATTTAAGAGCAACACACGATGCTTTTAGTAGAAATCTTTGGTAGCGGTGTAATTTTGAATACCAAGTAGAAGATGAGAGAAGTTGTCAGAAGTGGTTCAGGACATACATATCATTTGCCCAAATTATACTGTTGACACATGTTACTGGCAATTAAAGTAACAAGAGGCAAATAAACTGCTGTGCTAAAATACACCAGTTAAAACTCCAAAGATCGATATTAAGTATCTGCATGTCATGTTAACTGCTCTGCAACAAACAGAATAAGCTAAAAACAGCTTTTAGAGACAATAAAGGAGTTTAAGTAACGTCATAAAAGTGATTATTTCAGTATCCTAAATGTTAATTATAATTCCTAAATAAATCCACATCTTGGAATCCTTAGCCAGCAGGTTATAATTAATAGAAAAGGTTTAAAGGTATTTTTGTATTAAAGTTTCAAAGGCAATAGAAGGCTAATAAATTATTTACGAATGTCTAGTAAGTGATTAGTTCCATTTGAAGCAACCTCCAAGGTTCAACAGGCTGCTTATAATATTATTCATACTATTCTTTGTGTAACACAACAGTCAAGGCTACTCTTGCCATTAAACAACTAGCTCTTTATTTCCAAATTATAACCAACAGAAGACTACTCCTGATAAAAACAACCTGAATTTCAAAGTTTGAATGAAATGAAAAATGAAAAAAATGGTGCTTGGTGAGAACCAGGCATATGTTGAACCACGTGCAACAGCCCTAAAAAAGGAATGTACCTGCCCTCTGACAGCGAACTTTGATCGTTCGGGTGTTAAAACAAACACTGGTGGTGATGGCAATAACTGCTCCAATAGAAGGATCTTGTACTTAAGCTCTGAACAAGTTTAGGAGGTGTTAAATTGAGAAATAACAACTTGGGCAACACTACAGTTGTCACAGTAAACCCCAACTTCCTGGAAATGATTCTTGCTTTCACATATAACCATAGAGCAGAGATACGATAGCACTTCTCATCAGTTCCGAGTAGTACTCAGAGCACTTTCCATTGAGCATTTACAAAATAGGTTATGCTGAAAGTTTACTTATCATTTAAAACACATCTCTACGTGCTATCAAATTTAAGGTTTTTCTCTCTAAAGCAAAACAGATAAAGCTCCTCAAAGTTTTCTACTTAGCCTCCTGTCTTTGAGGGTGCTGGGCATGCCAATAATTCTCTGTGTTTATGAATGCAACTTGATGAGTTAAGAACAGTTACATGAACGTGTCTTTGCCAGCTTTAACAGCAACAAGAAAAGAAGATAAAGCTAGGGCCATAGCAAGGTTATTCTATTGCTGCCTTGGTAAGCCCTAACAGCTGCACAGAGACATCCTAGAGAGCTATTTGCAGGGGATGAAGACCCCAAATTGGATACCATGGAAGGAACAGAATGCCAGAAATCCCTTCCCATCCAAGAGTGAAGAGACCAGGGAGGATAAAAAAATCCTTATTCTTTAGTTATAATAGCTGTTCAAAGCAGAGCAAAGTTTTATTTTGTTCATCCAACAATCAGAAAGTGATTAAAGTCCGATTTTCAGACATCTGTTAGCCTTGAACTGATACGCGGGAAGCCTTGTATCATCAGACGAAAAACACGCTCTTCTCAGCACATTAAACAAAGAAACCTTTCCAAAACAAAGCATCTTTCCAATACATTAGCCCAAGATTTTTCATTGGGGGAGAAACAAGCCTATTTTTCACAGTGGCTTTTAACAAATTATATGTAGGCGTAGATGAGGGGGACTACAGAGAGTGAACAAGACAGCATCAAAACCACACACTGCAAGTTACAAGCTAACAAGAGTGGGGTATTCGTTTGGTTGGGTTTCATTTGGGGGTTTGGTTTCTTTGGGGAGTTTTGGTTTTGGCTTGG